CTCTCTCTCTCTATATATATATATATATATATATATATATATATATATATATATATATATGTATATATATATATGTTTATATATACGTATATATATATATGTATATTTATATATATATATATATATATATATATATATATATATATATATATATATATATATGTGTGTATATATATATATATATATATATATATATATATATATATATATATATATATATATATATGTGTGTGTGTGTGTGTGTGTGTGTGTGTGTATATATACAATATATATATCTATATATATATATATATATATATATATCTATATATATATATATATATATATATATATATATATATATATATATATATATATATATATATATATATATGTTTATCTCAGAGTATTTTGATACATAAGCACATGAAAATACCTGAAGTACATGATATCAAACCCGACCGTCACAGTATCGCCAGCATGTACCTGGCGACTGTGTTGCAGACTTATCATGACTTCACGGCAGTAATAAAACATTCTGCGTTTGTATTCAGGAGCGATGGACGATGCTGGTTACCATCGTCGTTGTATGATCCTTTCAATTCAGTGGATATTGTGACTGCTTTAGTTGTTAAGCACTGATACAATCACCGACTAATATCACCGAAAAAAATGCGGATCCAAAATAAAAGACGAAGCGGGTGGAGCATATTTTTGTCTCGTGCGTCGAGGTGATCCTGCCAAAATTGCTAGTGTGTTTGAGAGAAAGCGAGAGGGAGAGGGAGGGGGGAAGGAGAGGGAGAAGGAGAAGGAGAGGGAGAGGGAGAGGGAGAGGGAATGGGACAGGGAGAGGGAGAAGGAGAGGGAAAGGGAGCGAGAGCGAGAGCGAGTGAGTGAATGAGTGAGAGAGAGAGAGAGAGAGAGAGAGAGAGAGAGAGAGAGAGAGAGAAAGAAATAATACATTAAAACAATTCTGAGAAAAGTTGTTACCAGAACACGCTAAAATCACCAAACTTACCTGTGTAATGTACTAACTTATATTTTTTATTCATCTATTTTTTTATCCGTACCTAATTTTAAGAATTCAGTTGTTTAGTATATAACGCACTGGCGGTCATTTAGCCGTCTTTGAAGGCTGTGGTGTTAGAGACGTTGTTTCTCCTCAAAGACTGGCTACAAGTGGCAAACACCTTCGGCATCTTAAATATCTACCCAAACTGCGTGACGCACTGGGATATACCACTTGTCCTTGAATAAACTACAGTGTCAGTAACTCCGAAATAGGAATAGGTTAATTAATACCATGTTTATTATCTATACCTCAATGGATATCACAAATTAGGTTGAACACCGTTATGCATTCTTTATTCTATGCATTTACGAATTACTTCACTAGCTCCAGAAAGTTAGATGTTCTTTTATACGGAATTTGTGCGTGTGGTGCCGTTTCTGGCATATGCAGGCGGAAGGATAAGGCAAGATCGTGCAACGTCGGATCTCCTTGGCAGTCGAGGGTACTGATAATTCACGGCTGTGGTATGTGGGCGAATTTTGATTATGCAACAGTATCCAAGTCGGAACTCAGTGAACTCGCCTTGTTCACTTCAAGAACATCCTATACAGAGCATCGATGCGTAAAATGGTTCTAGAACGAAGATGATGAAGACAAGAAGTAGCATGATGTTATACAGGGAAAAAAGAAAAAACCGTCTTGCTGTTATATTGTCTGACAGCATTGTACCTTTCGTCATCAGCATTAATATTGTTCAAGGGGCTTTTTGCACAGATTCCGTTTTATGTTTATGCGTGTCTGTAACACTGAAACATATGTTTTACCCATGCTTTCAGTATTATGACATAGATTTATTTCAGACAAAGGGAATGGAGGTGGCCCTTTTCTCAGCGGGGGATATGAGCTCGGTCTGTTTATTGTTAGATGACTGTGCAATGTGGAATAAATGCAATCTGGGAAACGCTCGACTTCCTTGATCTGTCACATGAACCTTTATGATTATTACTCTTGTCATTGTTGTTGTTATTGTTTTTGCTGTTACGTTTGTTGCCGCTGTTGTCTCACTGTTGTTTTATCATTATCAATATTGTTCCGTGGCTGTGTGCGGTCTTTATACAAATATGATTCACAGAATTGTATTGTAACGAGGAACGGAAGTTGATCGTAAAACATCTATAACAGAATTAACACCTGTAGGAAAAGCCGTCGCGGAAAACGGACGTCAGGAATGAAGTGTGGAAGAAGTGCGTGTCTAGTCAAGCGACGCTATAGATAGCCCGTTATGCGAAGGCTGAAAAATAGCAAGTATAACTCTCAGGTTGACAAACGCGACGGATGTTAAAGTAGGAAAAAATAAAAAGCTGAAAAGAGCTATTCTCGCAGAATGGTGTAGCCAGGAATGTAAATTTTCAGTTCTAAGTTCTTTTTTATTCGGTTATCAAATTTGCATAAAAATGGAAGGGAAATGAGAAACGGCCCCGCTTAGTAAGGGCTGAAGCATGGGCGACA